AGCGGAAGCCTGTTTGTGCGCCCGTCTGCTGTGGCTGAAGGCTCAGATGAGTTTGATGACGGGGATGAGGAGGAGGAAGAGGAGGATGACGAGGGAGCGGGCTTTCCAGTTGAAAGAAGGCAGCAGCAGCGCAACAAGCAGCAGCAGCAGCAGCAGCAGCAGTCACAGCTCGTTCTAGATCCAGAGCTGATGCGGAGAATCCAGGAGGTTCAGCTGATGCAGCCCGGGAACCAGCAGGAGGCGGAGCTTCAGCAGCAGATGCTGCAGGACCTGCTAGCGCGGCAGCAGCAACAGCTGCAGATGCAGATGCAGCAGCAGGAGCGGCTGCTCCAGCAGCAGCAGCAGATCCAGCAACTGCAGCAGGAGAGCAAGCAGCGGGGGGAGCAGGAGCAGAGGGAGAAGGAGCAGCAGAGGGAGAAGGAGGAGGAGGAGCAGAGGGCGCTGGAGAAGGAGCTGGCTGGAAAGGACTGGCTTGCGGATCCCACCACTCTGGCATTCCTGAAGCAGCCTAACACAGCCGCAGGGGCGACGGCAGGAGGCGCGGGCACAGGAGGAGGAGCTGATGGGGTGCTTTTCGGCATTGGCAATGGCAGCGGTGGCAGCAGCAGCGCTGGTTCAGACTCTGGGCCGTTTTCAGACGATTTCATGCTTATGTCCGGTGTCTCCTCCTCTCCCCCGCCTGATTATCTTACCGGTGGGGGGGCTGGAGCAGCAGCAGGAGGAGCAGCAGCGGGAGGGGTGTCTGCTTTTGACCGCTCCCGTTCCCTTAACCAGGTGCCTTATAACGGGGGCGCGAATCTGGAAGCGGAGATGCTAGGCGTGGTAGCAGGCGCAGGCGCGGGGGGGGACTCATCTGCCAGGGATTTTCTCGGGGAAGATGCTCTTCGTGGGCCTGTGGACGAATCTGGACCGTCGAACCATGAGGATCTGATGGCGTGGGAGGCGTCGCTGGGAGAGGCTATGCTGGTGGGAGGGGCGGATGGTTCATCCTCCTCTTCCTCTTCTCTGTATGGGGATGATATGGAGCTGAGCCTTGCTGCTGAGAGGGCGGCAGGAGCAGCAGCAGGAAGGGGCGTGGGGAGGAAAGTGGGCGCAGGAGGAGTGGGAGCGAGAGGAGTGGGAGGGGCAGGGAGGGGGCGGGGAGTGGTGGGGAGCGGTGTGGCGGGGCGAGCTGGGATTGGTGCGCGTGGGCGGAGTTTGTCGTCGTCTTCTGCTGTTGGTGCGGGCGCGGGACGTGGCAGGGGCCGGGCTGCGAATCCGCAGGACCGGGTTCTGATGGAGATGGAGAGGAAGCAGCAGGAGGCTGCTCGCCGCAGGGTATGTTTTTCGTGTGATGATCTCTTTTCTTCTCTGCTGCCTTACACATGTCTTCTCTGTGGAAAAGCATGACCCCACTCAGCACTTACTAATTGCCTTCTCCCGTTCCCCCATTCCCCCCCCCCTGCACCTCCCTGTTGTTCCCTTCCCCTCGTGTGCACAGGAGGAGGAGAAGAAGCGGCAGCAGGAGGCGAGGCAGCAGCACCTCAAGCGGGCGACAGGCCTCGTCCGCTCCACCTCCACCTCGGGCATTGAGAGGCGCCGTACCACCACTGCAACTTCTTCTGCTGCTGGCGTTACTGGTGGTAACCGCACTGGACCCGCCACGGCTGGTGGGGCTCCTAGAGGTACTCTGGGGTCCCTTGCTGGTAGCAGGTCCCTCTCCCAGCATACTGCTTCCTCTGCCATGAGACTTGCTGCTGCTAGTGCTGCAGCTGGTGGTGCTGCTGGTGGTAGTGGTGGATCGTCTGTTTCTGGGGCTGCACGGGCAGCTGGGCGGGTCGCTGCACGACCCTCCAGCCCGGACCTGTGCCGAGCCGGGCAGCGGAAAGTTTTGTCCAGCCCGGGATCGGGGCCGCGGAGTGCGACGGGTGGGGCGAATGGACGCAGCCGTGACATTGTGAATGCTGCTCCGCCCGCTGCTGCTCCCCCCGCTGCTGCTGCTGCTGCTTCGAGTGGGAAGGAGGGGCCAAAGGCAGAGTCGAACCACGCAGGTGAAATGACAGTAGAACAGGCTGAGCAGCAGCAGCAGCAGCAGCAGCAGCAGAAACAAGCTGTTGCAGGGGCAGCAGAGAGCAGTGACGCGATGCTTGTAGAAGATATTTCTGAGGAAGCATCTGCATCGCCTACTGCTGCGTCTGCTACTCTGCCAGCCTCAGCAACAGATGCTGTACAGCCAGCAACTCCTGCTGCTTCTGCTGCCCACGCTGCCACTGCAGCTGGAAACAATGGCAATAACAGCAGCAACGGCCGTGCCCGTCGCACTGTGACCTTCCAGGAGCCAGAGGCTGCTGATGGTTACAACCCCAGTGCAGCTGCTCCTGCTGCTCCAGGCAGTGAGCAGCAGCAGCGGCAGGAGAAGGAGAGGGAGAAGCCAGGAAAGGAGAACAAGGGGAAGGAGGCCAGTGCGTCAGCAGCAGCACCACTCACAGTGGCAGCAGGGGGAGGAGCGAATGTTGGGGGGGCAGCGGTGTACCACCACCCTCCTGGGATGCCGCATCACTCCCCGTACGGGTCCCTCCCAGAGGCTGGTGGGGTGGCACCTGGGCGACGGGGGAGCATGGAGGGCCAGGAGAAACTCGGGATGCTGAATAACGGCGTCCATATGAGCAATGCCTATGGGTATACTGCACATACTGCACCCCATCAGAGTCACGCTGCTGCGCCTATGCATGTTCATGGTGGTCCCGGCACCGCAAGCCCTGCTGCTGTGGGGTTTGGCGAGGGGCTTAGAGAGGCAAGGCTGAAGCAGGAGAGGGAGTATTTGGACATGTTGAGGGAGAGGGAGGCTGCGTGGGTTGGATCGGAGCAAGATGGGGAGAAGAAGAAAACATCTGGCTTGAGGAAGTTGTTCGGTGGCTTTGGAAAGTAGAGTGCTTTGTTTAGGCTAGTGTGGGTGGTGGGCTTGATTGAGTCAATAGTATGTTTGTTGGGTCTAAAAATGTTAGGGAATGGCTTTGTAATAAATCATTAGTATTGTGCTATGGGCTCCTGAAACTGTTTGATTGTAAACCCGAAACCCTAAACTTGTTGGCAGATTGAGCTCTTTTCAAGTAACACAAGCTATTGTAGCCAAGGATAAGTACCAACATATTGCTATCTAGTGCTTGTAAATATGAAAATGCTATCAACGCTGTATATGCATGCACCTCTAGCCTCAACCCCATATCGAGTACAAGTATGTGCTTTCTTGCATTCCTACCTTCGTGACGTGAATTGCATCGCTGGGAAGACTCGGCTTCCTGCTCACAGATCCCTGTCCCCTTGTCAGAGAATTGACCTAGTTCTAGTCCAAGCGCTTCCGATCTCATCTCCACGGTACAAGAAGAGAGTAGTTGCTCTCGCGCGCCTTACACCATGAGGTGAGCTTTGTCTAAATCTCCTCGTACCGTCTGTGCTGCTTACGTATGTCTCAACGGAAGGTTGAAGGATAACATTGTCGCCTTGTCTCTTGTTGTCTTGCGTTCATATCGTCGTCCCGATGGCTCTGCCTTCAGTCGACCAATGGACGAGGATGAGGTGCGTGATTTTGTTGTTCTCGTCGTTTTTTTCCCTCAATATTTCTTTTTGTTAGAGTGTCTTTCTCACTTCCATTACCATCACGTCGGTTCGTTCGTACAGGCGGAGAAGAAGGAAGAAGAAGAATTCAGCACAGGACCGTTATCCGTGCTCACGATGAGTGTCAAGCAGAATACACAGGTTCGTTAGATCAAAGAAGGGTTTTTTACTTCCGGGATTTAGTCGCAGAGGCGTCGTTTGTTTATGAGATGGAACTCCTGACGTCTCGTCGTGCCTCGTTTGTTTTCTGACAGGTATTGATAAACTGCAGAAACAACAGGAAATTACTTGGAAGAGTGAAGGCCTTCGACCGGCACTGCAATATGGTATTGGAGAACGTGAAGGAGATGTGGACAGAGGTAAGCCCTCTTCAATCTCTGTTCCCATCTCAATGTCAACTTCTGTTCCAAATTTGAATTCCACGTTCTTAGTGCCTGTGGAGCACTGATATGCTGATATGGTATCTCTTGCTGATCTCCCTCACGCTTCCTGCCTTTCTCAGGTTCCAAAAACTGGGAAGGGGAAGAAGAAAGCCAAGCCAGTGAATAAAGATCGGTTCATCAGCAAAATGTTTCTGCGGGGAGACTCCGTCATCATTGTCCTTCGAAACCCTAAATAGGGAGTACTCGTTAATGCAGCAGCATGTCTGTTTTCCCCGTTTGTAGTTCTTCTAAGAGATCCGGGAGGATAGGGCCTCTCCTGTATGCAGGAGTTCAGCAGCAGCCCTTGGCTCGTACCAGGCTCTTGCATCTGAATCAAGGTAATAGCTTTTCTGTGGGGTTTGGTGAGCCCCATCAGGTAGTGCTGATACATAGCCTCCATTAGTTGTTCAGAAATCAGTGTTTCACTTATCTAGATTGTTACACACTAACAGGCAGCGAGTTTCCACCGTGCTGGACCCTTGTCAGGCTCAACAACCCACTGAACATTGGCAGTTGAAGCTGATTTAGGGACTTCTGCTGCTCTTTCAGTATAAAACCCATTATTTGTTTAGTACTGTACCGGCATGGTAGTATGTTGTTCTCAGATGGAGTGGCCTAAGCACAGAGACAAGGTCCTGCAGCCGGACTGGCTTGGTCAAGAAGCCATCCATTCCCACCTTTTCACACTTCTCACGCTCATGTTTCAATGCACTGGCAGTCAGTGCAACAATAATCGGTCTGCCCTCAGGAAGCACGTTTGTGAAATAATGCTCACAATGAGCTATGGGCCCTGACGTGTCTGCACTTTCTCTCTCCTTGTGGCAACCTACCGGTGTGCTGCCTCCATCACAAGTGGGACCTCGCCATTCTGCATCGAGAGCCCGGATGTTGTAGGTGGCTTCAAAGCCGTCCATTTCGGGCATATGAACATCCTGCAAGAAAGAAATGGAGCCAAGGGTGAGTAGGCAGGAGTGATTTGAATACCTATTCAAAGCCCAGCTATGCCCATCGTACAACAGCGCAGGGGGGAAGCATAGGCACAATTTGGGCGATTGTGCAAGGCAGGCTTACCATGAGTACAAGATCGTACTCCTTATTGCGGCATGCCTGCACGGCAAGCACGCCATTCTCCGCCACGTCAATGTTCACATGCAGGCTGCGCAGCAGGCGCACCACCACCATGCGGTTCACTGCATTGTCCTCCACCACTAGACACCGCACTCCAGGAAATGACACTGATGGTGATCGGGAAGGTGATTTCAAACCACCTGGTGCCTTGGCTGATACAGAAGCATCTGAAGCTTGCTCCCTGGATGAAGCCACATGAACATATGCCTGGTTTCGATCTATTTGCAGTGGATCCTGCATCCTCCATTGCTGAGCCACTAAGACCTTGTTTGGTCCGGCTTCCTCCTTGGCATTTGTCTGCTGCTTCCCCTGCTCCTGCAATTCTCCCTCTGAGTCCTGCACCTGATGCTCTGCTTGGGCCACATTATCCAACCCCTCTCCCACCAAACGCAAGCTTTCCTGCATTGACCAGGAAAGTGGACTCAGAGCAGCAGCGACAGCAGCTGCAGCAGGAGCATCCGCCGAACCAGGAGCAGCAGAAGCAGCAGCAGCAGCAGCAGCAGCAGCAGCAGCAGCAGCAGCAGCAGCAGCACAGGGCTCAACCGGCCGGTCATAGGCATCTATGCTGGAAGGCTCACAAGTTGCCCTGACCACCTTGAAGGGCAGTGAGAACTGAAACGTGGTGCCATGCCTAGGATGCGCATCAGCAGCTTGTTTGCTGTAGAATCCAACAGCACCGATTGCTGCTGTTGGACCTGCCGTTGGATCAGCAGCCATGGGACTGTCGGGACTGGTGCGACTGGTGGGGCTGGTGGGGCTGGTGGGGCTGCTGGGGCTGGTGGGGCTGCTGGGGCTGGTGGGAGTAGTGATTTTTCTGGTGGGACTCATGGGTTTCCTGCTGCCTGCATTCACATCTCCCGCAGATCCAGCCACGGGCTCATGGTCGGCAGATTTTGGACTGAATGCTGAGGACACGTGGATGGTGCCGCCCATGAGCGTGACGAGCGAGTGGCAGATAGCGAGGCCGAGCCCAGTGCCACCGTACCTGCGACTGGTGGATTCATCTGCCTGCATGAACGGCTGGAAGAGGCGCGGGAGCATGGCTGGGGGAATGCCGATGCCTGAGTCAACCACCTCAAAGTGCACTGTTATCTCCTCTTCTGTATCACTCTTCCGACATGCTGCTGCTGCCTCTGTTGTCTCTGTTCCACCCATGGCCACTGCCACTTCACCTGATATGCACCCTTCATCGCTTTTCCAAATCTCAGGCTCTCCAGACGTTACTTGCATCACTGCCTCTGCTTGCCCCTCTGGTTCTGCCCTCGCCTGCGCCTTGGAAATACCTCCTGCTGGCCCACCAGCACAACTCCTTCTGCTGCGCTTCAGAACTGTGCAACCACCATCCTCCCCACTGGCATTGTCTGCTGCTGCTCCTGCCACACCTGCGTTTGTGCAGCATTCATCCTCCCCACTGCTGCAGTTCATTCGCTTGCGTTTCCCCCAACCATTTTTAGAACCCAAATGTTGCAATGGCATCTCAGTGTCTCCCCCCTGCAGTTCCTCTGGTGGTGCCTCTGCTGCTGCCTCAGATGCTGCCTCTGCTGCTGATGAGCCTGCTGCGCCCCCTGTTAAGCTCTGAGGGGCCTCAACGCAAGGTGTTGTTGCTGCTGCTGCCGCTGCTGCACGGGCCTTAGAGTCTTCCTCTGTTGGGTGATGCAGGATTCCTGTAACGTTAGATGTGGCAATCCGGAGCTTCACAAAGCCCCTGATCGTTGTTGGGTGAGGCAACAGGGTAACAGGAATGGGGACCTTTTGTTTGTTTGTGTGTGCGAGTGGGTGAACTTGATGGTGTTGGAGAGGGGGGTGAGAGGGTTCAAGAGGGAAGGAGGGAGGGAATGAGAGGAGCGAAGGAGGGAGAGAAGAGAGGGGAGGATGGAGGGAAGAAAGAGAGGACTTGATGGCACTAGAGAGGAGAAGGAGAGTTCAAGGAAAGAAGAGAAAGAGAGATGAGATTGGAGGAGGTTGGGAGAGAGCACTGACTGGTGGGTGAACTTGATGGCGTTGGAGAGGAGGTTGAGCAGCACTTGGCGCAGGCGAGAGGGGTCTCCAACTATGCAACGAGGCACAGAGCCTTCCATCTCCACACCCAGCTGCATGCACCAGAGAAGTTCCATTAGTCAGCACGAAACCTTACTCAACCGCACTCAGCCCCACTCACCCTGAGCCCTTTCCGCTGTGCTGCACCAGCACAGCAACAGCAGCCACAGCATCCTCTGCTGTCTGCTGCAGATTTTTTAGGCGCCTCAAAAACCAACAGCAGCCACAGCGTCCTCTGCTGTCTGCTGCAGGTGGAAGGGGATCGACTCGAGCGAGAGGGACCGTGCCTCAATCCTTCCGTTCCACTGACACCCCCACTTCACTCAAACAAAATTAACCCCGCTTCCCACTCACCCTGAGCCCTTTCCGCCGTGCCAGCACATCAACAGCAGCCACAGCGTCATCCACTGCCTGCTGCGGGTGGAAGGGGATCGACTCAACCACAGCCAACCTTCCTCAATCACACTCAGCCGCACTCAACCGCGCTCACTTTGAGCCCTTTCCGCCGTGCCAGCACATCAACAGCAGCCACAGCGTCATCCACTGTCTGCTGCAGGTGAAACGGGATCGACTCGAGCGCCAACAACCGCGCCTCGATCTTGCCCTTCCATTGACACCCCCACTTCACTCAACCGCACACAACTGCACCGCACTCAACCACACTCAAACCCTCTCAACCGTTCTCACCTTGAGCCCTTTCCGCCGTGCCAGAACGGCAACAGCAGCCACAGCCTCCTCTACAGACTGCTGCAGGTGGAAGGGGATCGACTCGAGCGCTAGCGACCGCGCCTCGATCTTGCTTATATCGAGTACATCGGATATGATGTGCAGCAGGCTCTCTCCTGACGAGCGAATCACCTCGCAGTACTGCTGCTGCTCGGGAGTCAATGGCGTTTGCAGCAGAAGTTCCGCCACTCCCAGTACACCTGGGGGGAAAGGGGGTGGGATTTGAGACGTCTCGAAAATCCACTCCACATGAGCGGATCACCTCGCAGTACTGCTGCTGCTAACGGATCACCTGAGGAGCCAACGGGGTCAATGGAGTCAACACAGTCAACGGAGTTTGCAGCAGCAGCTCCGCTACCCCCAGCACACCTGGGGGAAGTAGGGGAGAGCGGGAGGGAGGGAGGGAGGGAGGGAGGGAGGGAATCGTAAGGAAATGGTCCGGCTGTGTTCTGATGAGCGGATCACCGCGCAGTACTGCTGCTGCTCGGGAGTCAGAGGCGCTTGTAACAGCAGCCCCGCCACCCCCAGCACACCTGGGGAAGGGTACGGGAGGGGTTTGAAGGGGAGGTTGTGGTGGCAGCTGGCATCATGGGTGGGGAGTGGCGTGATGTGCGTTTGGAGCAGCAGCAGCAGCAGCAGCGCCACCACTCCCATCACATACCACCCTCATGTGCATGAACCATATTCATGTGCATGAACCATATTCATGTGCATTCACGGTCATGTGATGTGCACATACCATTCATGGGCGTGCGGGTCTCATGGCTAACGTTAGCCAGGAACTGTTAAGAGACGTCTCAAAACCCGTGTGTGTCTCATGGCTGATGTTAGCCAGGAACTGGCTCTTGGCCTGACTGATGTGCATTCACCATTCTCACATGCACAAACCAGCATTTTGATGCGCGCGTGCGTGCCCATTTTCATGTGCCCATACCATTTCCACGCGCATGTACCATTCATGGGAGTGCGGATCTCATGGCTAATGTTAGCCTGGAACTGGCCCTTGGCCTGACTGACATGGATCGGAACTGCGCAATTACCATCCTCATTTGTGTATACCATCTCCATGCGTTTACACACAACAGCATTCCCATGTACATACCATTCATGGGCGTGCGGATCTCATGACTAATGTTCGCCAGGAACTGGCTCTTGGCCTGACTCGCCGCCTCTGCCACCTCCTTGGCCTGCCTCAGCTCCTCCTCATGCCGCTTCATCTCCCGCAGATCGTGCCACACAGATACCACCTCCCCCGGGTGCTCCTCGCTCAGAAACTGTGTACGTTTCATGAATGGAAAGAGGGTGAGAAGCAGGGAGGAGGAATGGGGGGATTTTTTAGTCGACTCAAAAGGTAGTCAGGATGCTTTTTGCTCAGGAACCGTGTACGTTGCATGAATGGAAAGAGGGTGAGAAGCAGGGAGGAGGAATGGGGGGAAGCGGGGGAAGGTGGGGGGGTGAAGAGGGGTCAATGGCTTTCCACACATTTACCTGCACTTACTCACCCTTCCTCCCCCCTCTAACATCTCTCTCCAACCTCTCACGCACCTGCACTTTCACCAGCACAGGGAACAGCTCCCCTCGGGTGTCACAGCGTCACCACTCACCAACATACGCCACACACCACTACCCCCTTGCACCGCACTCCACCCCCTCGCATCGCACGCACCTGCACTTTCACCAACACGGGGAACAGCTCCCCTTTGGTATCACAGTGCCACCACTCGTCAATAGACGCCTCCCCCCGCAGCAGCCCCCCTTGAATGCCATAGTGCCACCACCCTCTCTCACTGCACACACCTGCACTTTCACCAGCACAGGGAACAGCTCCCCTCGGGTATCACAGTGCCACCACTCGTCGATCGAAGCCTCTCCTTGCAGCAATGGCTGCATGAATCTCATCATCTTATCCGCCGTCCACTCGACTTCTCTCCCTTGACTGTTTCTCCCCTCACCTGTATACCCATACTTTGCAGCACAGGAAACAGCTCCCCTTGAGTATCATAGTGCCACCACTCGTCAATCGACGCCTCTCCTCGCAGCAGAAGCTACAGAATCGCATCATCTTATCCGCCATCCACTCGACTTCTCTCCCTCAACTATTTCTCCCCTCACCTGTTCCCCATACAACTCTGCACGCACCTGCACTTTGACCAGCACAGGGAACAGCTCCCCTTTGGTATCACAGTGCCACCACTCGTCGATCGACGCCTCTCCCCGCAGCAGCGGCTGCACGAATCGCATCATCTTATCCGCCGTCCGCTCGCCGCCCGGCTGCACCTCTGGGGAGAAGGCGGCGGCGCTCAGCTTGTGACAGATGGCGGCCTTTGATTGGTGCCCCAGCATGCGCACTGCCGCCTCGTTGCACTCGTGGATCAGCCTATCGCCGCTGATTATAAATATCGGGTCCTGTGAACAGTGGTTGGGAGGGGGAAAGGTGAGGCTCTTATGGGCCGATTCAGGGGGGATGGGTGGAGTGTGGTGGAGTGGGGTGAAGTGAAGTGAGGATTTTACGGTGACAGGGTTATACGCACAGCTGTACAATACTACGTTTACGACAATATTTCTAAGTCAATTTTCAATTCTTCTGTATGATAAGACTCACCATAGAGATCTCGAATATAAGACTCACCATAGAGATCTCGAATATAAGACTCACCATAGAGATCTCGACTATAAGACTCACCATAGAGATCTCGACTATAAGACTCACCATAGAGATCTCGACTATAAGACTCACCATAGAGATCTCGACTATAAGACTCACCATAGAGATCTCGACTATAAGACTCACCATAGAGATCTCGACTATAAGACTCACCATAGAGATCTCGACTATAAGACTCACCATAGAGATCTCGACTATAAGACTCACCATAGAGATCTCGACTATAAGACTCACCATAGAGATCTCGACTATAAGACTCACCATAGAGATCTCGACTATAAGACTCACCATAGAGATCTCGACTATAAGACTCACCATAGAGATCTCGACTATAAGACTCACCATAGAGATCTCGACTATAAGACTCACCATAGAGATCTCGACTATAAGACTCACCATAGAGATCTCGACTATAAGACTCACCATAGAGATCTCGACTATAAGACTCACCATAGAGATCTCGACTATAAGACTCACCATAGAGATCTCGACTATAAGACTCACCATAGAGATCTCGACTATAAGACTCACCATAGAGATGTCGACTATAAGACTCACCATAGAGATGTCGAATATAAGACTCACCATAGAGATGTCGAATATAAGACTCACCATAGAGATGTCGAATATAAGACTCACCATAGAGATGTCGACTATAAGACTCACCATAGAGATGTCGACTATAAGACTCACCATAGAGATGTCGAATATAAGACTCACCATAGAGATCTCGAATATTCGCTTGAACTTCCCATTGTACACGCCCTCGCGGATTTTTGCCTCCAGAGACTTCAGCCTCTCCACTAACGAGTCCAGCTCCTTCTCTATAGCGAGTACAGCTGCAGCTGCTGCAGCTACAGGGGCCTGGGGTGGAAATTGAGCAGCAGAGAAGCACCCCTCCAGAGCAGCAGAGAGCGCTTCCTGGATGGAAAAGAGTGGGGGGAAGAGCAGGTTTTCTAAGGTGTCTCGAAAGCTGGCAGCTGAGCAGCAGAAAAGCAGCCCGCCAGAGCGGCAGAGAGCGACTACTGGATGGAAACGAATGGGGAGCATAACGATTCCAGCAAAAAGAAGACTCAAGAAGAGTGAAGACGAGGGAGGATCAAAGGAGGGGAAGTGTTTTAATATGCCTCAAGAACCCCGGCAGTACAGCAGCGGATAAGCAGCCCTCCAGAGCGGCAAAGAGCGATTCCTGGATAAAATAGAGGATTGAGCATAAAATAGGAAGTCAGGGTTCAAGGTTTTTGTGTTTCCACTTATAGATGTCATGCAGTGTGCAGAGCAGAGGGCACCTGCCACTGCCGGTTTCAGAGTCGCCTCACAAGCAGACGCTAGGAAATCCTGAAAGCAAACCCTTAACCCTGTACCTGTTCGTCTTTCCACTTGGAGATGTCATGCAGTGTGCAGAGCAGAGGACAGCCAGTGCCACCACCACCGGCTATAGTCTCCACTCACAAGAAGGCCTCTAATTTGAATCCGCCTCAAATTACAGCCCCGTTACCTTTTGGCCTCACCTGTTTGTCTTTCCACTTGGAGATGTCATGCAGTGTGCATAGCAGCGGGCGGCCGCCACTGACTTGATTGGATGCCAACTCAATCGGAGCCAGTCGCACCTCGAACCATCTAAACCGTCCATCTGATCCGCTGCTACTATCTGAATTGCCTTGACTGCTGCTACACCCGCTGGGGCCATGCCTGCTGCAACAGTCACTGCGGCCATGGCTACTGCTGTTGTCGCAATGACTGCTGTTGCTGCTGACGGTGCTCTGAAGCCGGACTTCTAGCGCGGTGGCTTTGCTGTCCGCGTTAAGAGCATGTGTCTGCGCCATATAGCCCTGAAAGGAACCCAATGACAGGTAAATAAGCAATAAAGCCCATTTGGTTCTGGAAGGAGCGCTCAGGACTCTTGAGTGGAGTGGACTTTATTATTAGTCACCTTGAGAAACAATATGGGCGAAAAGCGCTTGTGACTTAAAATCGACCCACTTTGCAAGTGAACGGAGGTTGGTGTGGTGATATGGTGCATTCATGTTACCTGCAAAGCGTGGACGTCAACGTGGATGATGCACTCCAGGAACGAAGCGAACTGTAACGAGTACAACAAGCTAACTGGGGTGCAGTCAGGCTGACCTGAAGCGCACTCTGGTCGTCATCTTGAATCCTAAATCAGCTCTAGGAACGAAATAGTGCAGCATACCTTGAAGACACGGTAGCATGCGTCACTGCGGGTGAGTGGTGGTGCGTTTCCTTGGTGGCATTGAACTGACCTGAAACGCGCTCCGGTCGTCATCGTGAATCAACTCTAAGAAAGGACAATGTAGAAGCTCCAGCTCGCCATGGCCTGGCGACAGCGACTCGCGCATGGCAGCGCTGCACAAACAGGCACCAAAGGTGCACAGGCAGGGGGGGGTGGGGGGGGAGGAGGGGGGGAGGAGGGGGGGGGGGGGGGAGGGGGGGAAAGGGGACTTTTGAGTCGACTCAAAAGTCGCAAGCAGGCACCAAAGGTGCGCAGGCAGGGGGAGGGGAGGGGGGGGTGGACTTTTGAGTCGACTCAAAAGTCACAAGCAGGCACCAAAGGTGCACAAGCAGGGGGGGGGGAGGAGGAGGGGGAGGGGAAGGGGTATGAAAATGCATTCTGAGTATTTTCGAAAGCCAACTGATCTCCAGCTCGCCATCATGGCCTGGCAACAGCGACGCGCGGATGGCAGCGCTGCACACACAGGCACGGCGGGAGGGAGGTGACGTGTTGCATCGCATGTTGCGTTTGCGTCGAGTCTTGATATGAGCTCGCTGGAGAGCGGCTCGCACGTTCTAGTAACGCTGTTCGAGCACTGCATTTCATTTCATGTTGCTTTGGCGGGACGCGACGTGACGCTTTGCATTGCACTCTTTGTGAAGCAACTCGGTGCCCAGCTCGCCCTAGGCTCCTCTTGAGGAACGAGATGCGACACGTATTGGTTTGATCTCTCCCTTCCGTTGAGTGTTTTCCGGGATATGTATCGAAACTTTCACCTAGTAATACTCTACCTGCATTCGACGATTAGGCCATCTGCTGAGAGACAGGCCGCGGGAACATGCTCGTAGAGGGCTTCCGCTAGCAAACGGCATTTCGTGGGTGAACTATCGTTGTGATCCATGGGGGAAGTCGGAGAAACGAGAATGGAGGATGCAAGAACCATTGCGTTTCTGCCTGGAGGGTTGACAGAATTCATGCAGCTTTTCCTGCACACGGATGGAGTCTCGTGGAGCTACGGCAGTGAAGCTGTACTAATGGAGAAGTTGCGAAATAGCGCACTCGAACGCTCTGGAACCTAGAGAACCAGATTCAGCCGCACTAGTGCAGTGCGGTGGACTCTTTTGGACTACTTGTATCAGTCGACTGGGTGGGAATTCTTCACCAATGAGATGGGGAATATAATGCACCTGCTGACGCAGGCAGTGCGATATATATTCCAGCAGTCGACATGTCCTCCACCAGTGGCAGCCCTCCACCTAAACCGTTCGTGTGTTGTGTGACTGACTGGGGGTTCCCCTTTCGCGCAAATTCATCTGCACCTTACGAAATTCTCCCCAAGCTTGCCAGCTGGTTCGGACGAGACGGCTCGGCATTCTTCCATGAGGCAGAGAGTGGGTGAGAGGGGGTTCAGGCTTGGATACCCTGACCTGGATATCATGTTTGGCCACAACCACAACCAGCTTCGGTTCCAGTTCCATGACGAAACTGTGTCGTACGTGTTACCACCGTCGCACGAACTTTTAACTGTACACATTCCCGCTGGGAGCAAGCGAAATCGGTAACACATCAACCGAACCAATTGACGAACCTCCACCTTCCTCAACTGACTGCGGTTTCCCAACATGATTTGCTGGGAAATGAAGTTCAACCCATTTAGAACGCAACAGACCAAACGGAACCGTAGTTTGAGGGAATTGAAAACAATTGCGGGGAACATAGGGCCTTCATGGTCTGCTCAAACCAGAACGCCATCCATCAGATTTGACGCATCTGGTTCGCATCAGCTAGCGTTCGCGCCAAATGCGGGGTGATTAGCAAGCGACCGATCACGTACCGCATAACCTGCGGGCCGCATGTAAATATTCTCACAAATCACAATTATCTCCTGCGTCCGTGCTGTGCCAACTATGGGAGGCATTCTCGGCCGGCCAAAGCAGCATCGCGGCGACGGGAAAGTCGTGGCAATAACGGGATGCTCTAAAGGAGGAATCGGTTATGCTCTAGCAGAGTATGCTTTCTGAAATACCTAGTCTCCGGGGGTTTTTCGTGTGATTAGTAACCTTACACTGTATCCTCATAGCAGGTCCGATGTATCAAAAACTATTTCGCTGTCACTCGCATTCCCCCTGTCAATCGCCCCCTTCTCACTCGCATTCCCCCTCTCACTCGCATTCCCCCTCACATTCGCATTCCCCCTCTCGCTCGCTTTCTCGCCCTCACTCGCATTCCCCCTCTCACTCGCATTCCCCTTCTCAATCGTATTCCCCCTCTCAATCGCATTCCCTCTCTCACTCGCATTCCCCCTCTCACTCGCATTCCCCCTCTCACTCGCATTCCCCCTCTCACTCGCATGCCCCCTCTCACTCGCATTCCCGCTCTCACCCGCATTCCCCCTCTCACTCGCATTCCCGCTCTCACTCGCATTCCCCCTCTCACTCGCATTCCCCCTCTCAATCGCATTCCCCCTCTCACTTGCATTCCCCCTCTCACTTGCATTCCTCCTCTCACTCGCATTCCCCCTCTCACTCGCATTTCCTCTCCCACTCGCATTCCCCCTCGCACTCGCATTCCCCCTCTGACTCGCATTCCTCCTCTCACTTGGATTCCTCCTCTCACTCGCATTCCCCCCCTCACTCGCATTCTTCCTCTCACTTGCATTCCCCCTCTCACTCGCATTCCCCCTCTCACTCGCATTCCCCCCCTCACTCGCATTCCCCCTCTCACTCGCATTCCCCCTCTCACTCGCATTCCCCCTCTCACTCGCATTCCCCCTCTCACCCGCATTCCCCCTCACTTGCATTCCCCCTCTCACTCGCATTGCCCCTCTCACTCGCATTCCCCCTCTCACTCGCATTCCCCCTCTCATTCGCATTCCCCCTCTCACTCGCATTCCCCCTCTCACTCGCATTCCCCCTCTCACCCGCATTCCCCCTCTCACTCGCATTCCCCCTCTCACTCGCATTCCTGTCTATCAAACGTCCCATGGCATACACCGACCAGGGAGTACGCACGGCGGGGTGCCAAGGTGTTTGCGACAGCGCTGCCACTCCTCAGTTTTGAGTACCCACTCCTCAGTTTTGAGACGTCTCAAAACCATATACTTCCTATCGCCCCACACTTCCCCTCCCACTCCTCAGGGAGTACGCGCGGCGGGGCGCCAAGGTGTTTGCGACAGCGCGGAGGGTAGAAGCGATGGAGGGGCTGCAGGAGCAGGGTGTGACTACAGTGAAGCTGCCATTCCTCCCGTCGCCCCTCAGCCCCCTCGTCCTCCCCTCCCCCTCCTCTCTCCCGCCACAACCAGGGAGTATGCGCGGCGGGGTGCCAAGGTGTTTGCGACAGCGCGGTCGGTAGAGGCCATGGCAGGGTTGCAGGAGCAGGGCGTGAGTACAGTGAAGCTGGATGTGACTAAAGAGGATGATAACAAGGTGGGTTTGTTGTTAGGGGGCGATTAAGAAGCAGTGATTGGGGTTGCAGGAGCAGGGCGTGAGTAGAGTGAAGCTGGATGTTACTAAAGAGGATGACGTCAAGGTGCGCTTGTAACAGTGTCCTGTTTACCCCATTCCCTTATTTCCCCCCCAATTGTCCCGTCCACTCTTTCCTTTCATTCTCCTCCCCCCCTCTCCCCTCCTCCCTAATCATCTCCTTCCTTCCACCCCCTTCCTTCTTCCCCCGCGCTTCCGCTCCTCCGTCCCCCCTTCCTTGCAGTCTGCAGTGGATGTGATTGTAAAGAGCGCCGGCCAGATTGACATTCTTGTGAATAACGCGGGCGTGCTTATAATGGGGCCTGTGGCGGACCTCCCTCTCTCCTCCTGGCGCCTTGGCTTTGAAACCAACCTGCTGGGAGCAGTGGCTATGGCACAGGCTGTGTTTCCCCACATGGCTGAGAGACAGAGCGGGTGCATTGTGAATCTATCGAGCATCCTGGGGTACCAGGCATTGTGAGTATAAAGGGTCTTCGATAGTAAAAATGTTTTAAATAGACTGAAAAAAAAAACAAAAAAAAAGGTGTTCCCTGCTTCGCTTGTTACCAATGTCGCTCACAGGCCCATGGGGGCTGTGTATTCTGCGTCCAAGGCGGCACCAACTCCAGCAACCAACTGAATGCGCATGGGCATGAACCACCTCTCGTCTCCACTACTCTCCCCCCCATCCCCATCTTCACCTCCCCTGCCCCTGTACCCTCACCGCATGCTCCATCTCAGGCCCATGGGCGCTGTGTATTCAGCATCCAAGGCAGCGCTCACAGCAGCGTCAAACTGCATGCGCATGGAGATGAAACCGTTTCCTCTGACCCCCCTTGCCTCTCCCACATTTCTCAATCTCAGGCCCATGGGCGCTGTGTATTCAGCATCCAAGGCAGCGCTCACAGCAGCGTCAAACTGCATGCGCATGGAGATGAAACCGTTTCCTCTGACCCCCCTTGCCTCTCCCACATTTCTCAATCTCAGGCCCATGGGCGCTGTGTATTCAGCATCCAAGGCAGCGCTCACAGCAGCGTCAAACTGCATGCGCATGGAGATGAAACCGTTTCCTCTGACCCCCCTTGCCTCTCCCACATTTCTCAATCTCAGGCCCATGGGCGCTGTGTATTCAGCATCCAAGGCAGCGCTCACAGCAGCGTCAAACTGCATGCGCATGGAGATGAAACCGTTTCCTCTGACCCCCCTTGCCTCTCCCACATTTCTCAATCTCAGGCCCATGGGCGCTGTGTATTCAGCATCCAAGGCAGCGCTCACAGCAGCGTCAAACTGCATGCGCATGGAGATGAAACCGTTTCCTCTGACCCCCCTTGCCTCTCCCACATTTCTCAATCTCAGGCCCATGGGCGCTGTGTATTCAGCATCCAAGGCAGCGCTCACAGCAGCGTCAAACTGCATGCGCATGGAGATGAAACCGTTTCCTCTGACCCCCCTTGCCTCTCCCACATTTCTCAATCTCAGGCCCATGGGCGCTGTGTATTCAGCATCCAAGGCAGCGCTCACAGCAGCGTCAAACTGCATGCGCATGGAGATGAAACCGTTTCCTCTGACCCCCCTTGCCTCTCCCACATTTCTCAATCTCAGGCCCATGGGCGCTGTGTATTCAGCATCCAAGGCAGCGCTCACAGCAGCATCAAACTGCATGCGCATGGAGATGAAACCGTTCGGAATAAAGATTGTGCTTGCGACTCCTGGGCTTATCAAGACTGAGCTTTTCGGGTAGGTGGGGTGGAACAATTTACTTTCAGCAAATCCACGATGCACCTCTGTATCAGAAACTCTTTCGCAAGCTTCGATAATAATGTCATTGACTTTTGAGACGTCTCAAAAGTCGTCCTTTTTTCTCTCTGCTTGCAGAAAATCCCCTCAGATTTCTGTCCAGTTGCCGCCCACCAGCCTATACGCCCCCTGCCAAGCCAACATTGACAAAATGGCAAGCCTCCCCCATACAACAGCCATGACCCCCCCTTCCCAACTCGCATCTCTAATCGCCAACGCCTCGCTTTCCCCCAACCCTCCCTGGCGCCTCTTTGCCGGAGAACTATGGCCCACTGTGATGGCAATGGTGTGGTTTGCTCCTGTGTGGCTCACCGACTGGGTTTATTGGAGCACGGGATATGGAAAGCTTTTAGCAGCAGCTGAAAAGAAGAAGAGGATTGCTGGTGACGTGGGGGAGAGGAAGCAGAAGTAAAGATGTGGAGATGTTACTGAAGGGAGCGGGGAAGAGTGTGACACGCGGAAGGTGTTTTCTGGTGGGAGCGAAGGCATGAGCGAATACTTTATGCGAAACATGCAAATGGTAACGCGGTGCGTGCGAGCTAGCTAGTGCTACGCTGGCGCGAGGTTAGGGCTAGTCCCGAAGCGTAGGCCGACTCGGTTTGGCCAGCAGTGCGAGGTTTGTGTCAAACTGTATGTTAGTGTTCTCTCTAGGCTATAGTGGGTTAGCATACAAGGGGTACAACACTTTAGGGTTAGTACTTGTACCCAACTCATTCATAGTTCATTCATTCCTGCACAGTGAATCTGACATGGTATTCAGAGCAGGAAACATGTTAAGTTTTTAGGGCCCACCGATAGTTCCGCTCGTTCCTGCCCGAAGCGCCCTTGCGCTGTTCGGCCCTGCTCGCACAGTGTCGCGCTGCCCTGCAGCTACTCGCACTGCCTGCCCCCGCACGTTGCGCCCTGCTGCAGCCTGCGAGCCGCGCCCTGCTACCCTGCCCAGCGCGCGCCGCCCTGCTCTGCAGCCAGCGCCCAGCTGCCCTGCAGCCCGTGCATCGTGCTGCCCTGCCCTTAGGCCCGCGCGCCGCCCTGCCCTGCAGCTCGTGAGCCGCACCACCCTGCCCTGCAGCCCAGCGCGTCACGCCCTGCTGCCCTGCCCAGAGCACGCCCCACTGTCCTGCGCGTCGCGCCCTGCTGCAGCCCGCGCGTCGCGCCCTACTGCCCCGCGCGTCGCGCCCTGCTGCAGCCTGCACGTCGCGCCCTGCTGCCCTGCGCGACGCGCCCTGCTGCAGCCCGCGCGTCGCGCTCTGCTTCCCCGCGCGTCGCGCCCTACTGCAGCCCGCGCGTCGCGCTCTGCTGCCCTGCGCGTCGCGCCCTGCTGCAGCCCGCGCGACGCGCCCTGCTGCCCTGTCCATCGCGCGCCCTGCTCTGCAGCCCACGACGCGCCCTGCCTTGCCCAGCCGCGCCGCCCAGCCCTGCCGAACCGCGTCGCCCAGGCCGAGCCGCGCCGCCCAGCCCGAGCCGCCCAGCCTGAGCCGCTCTGCCCAACCCGGGCCGAGCCTCCCTGCCTCATTCACCAGCCCCACCGAGTCGCCTTGCTGCTACTACTGCTGATGTTGCTGCTCGTGCTACTGCTGCTGCTGGTGGAGGTGCTGCTGGGAGTGCTGGAGGTGCTGGAGGTGCTGCTGGGAGTGCTGAAGGTGCTGGAGGTGCTGCTGGGAGTGCTGGAGGTGCTGGTGGTGCTGGAGGTGCTAGACCTACTACTGACCGTCACTGCCTGTCATGGCCACTCTCACGGCAGTTGCAGCGGCCAGGGGTGGACAGCAGCAGTCATTGCCTCTCCCGGAGAACCCCACCCCTCAGCAGCTTCGTGAGTGGGTTATTCAGCGAGGCAGTCCTTGTGGTGGAGGTTTTGGTTTTATGCATACTGCACAGTGGCGGCAGCAGCGTCCGCAGAGCACCTTCTCCCTGCAGCGGCCTCGCGACTGTGCTTCTCGGCGATGCGTCCCTGGTTGTGTAGAGGCTGTTGTTCTCGGTTCTAGTAAGTCTGCTGCCGCTCCAGATGCTAGTGAGTCTGCTGCATCTCTAGGTGCTCGTGACTCTGCCGACGCTCTAGGTGCTAGTGCGTCTACTGCCACAGGTCTTGCCTCAGCTGAGGCCTTGCACACTTTCACGCTTGACTCAGGCGCGTCGCATTGCTTCTTTCGTGATTGCACCACAGTCACACCACTCGCAGCACCTGTCCCAGTCTCACTGGCTAACCCCACTGGGGGCCCAGTAGTTGCACGAGCCTCCACTGTCCTCCTGTGTCCGGCAGTCCCCTCCGGGTCTCTCTCAGATCTCCACCTCCCCGTGTTCTCGACGAACTTGTTGAGCAACGCAGTTCTCCAGGATAATGGATTGACACCTTCATTCCTGGAGGACAGCGTGTGGCGATCTGTAAGTGCTCACGGACTGGCTGTCACCTTGCTACGTTCACTCGTCAGCCTGGGTCCGGTCTGTACACCCTGACCACTGCGTCTGCACAGGTGGCTAAGTCAGGTCAGGTGGCTGCGTCGAGTCAGGTGTCTGCGTCTGGTCAGCTTGCAGCGACTTGCTCGTGTCGGGTACTCTCTCACCAGACTCTCCTCTGGCACCACCGCCTAGGTCACCCCTCGCTGCCGTGTCTCTGCAGCATGCACTCCCGTCTCCTTGTCTCTGGCCTTCCCAGGTCACTGCCTTCCCTCCCGCGCTCACCTGCACCGCCGTGCCTTCCCTGCGTCGTGGGGCGGCAGCGCGCCGCTCCTCACTCCTCCAAGTTTCCTCCGACCACTGCTCCGTTGCAGACTCTCCATATGGACGTGTGGGGCCCGGCCCCCGTCAGTGGAACGGACCAGAAGTGCTACTTCCTGCTGGTGGTTGACGACTACACACGCTACACCACTGTCTTCCCCTTGCGGTGCAAGGCGGACGTCAGCGGTGCTTTGATCCCCTGGATCCGTGCTACTCGTCACCAGCTGCGCGAGAGGTTTCGGCGGGACTTGCCACTCCTGCGCCTGCACTCTGATAGGAGCGGTGAGTTCTCTTCTGGCCTCCTTGAGGAGTTCTGTCAAGACGAGGGCATACGCTAGACGTTCACGCTTCCGGCCTCTCCTCAACAAAATGGGATTGCTGAGCGTCGCATTGGCTTGATCATGGAGGTTGCTCGTACCTCTCTGATCCATGCTGCTGCTCCCCATTTTCTGTGGCCATTTGCGGTCCGATACGCAGCGCATCAGCTCAACCTCTGGCCCCGTGTCTCTGAGCCAGAGACCTTGCCCACACTCCGGTGGACGGGGAAGGTTGGCGATGCGTCGGTGTTTTGGGTCTGGGGCGCGCTCTCCCTTGTTCGCGATGCCAAAGTGAGCAAGCCCTCCTCTCGCACTCTCCGTTGCGTCTTCCTTGGCTTCCCCACCGACGCCCCGCCGTGGCAGTTCTACCACCCGCACGAGCGTCGAGTCTTCTCCTCCCAGGACGTCACCTTTGACGAGTCTGTCTGTTTCTACAGGCTACACCCGCACGCGTCCCACCCGGTCCCCCTAACGCCTCTTTTCTTGGTACTAGTCCCCCCCCTGGTAGACCCCCTCCCCCCACAGGGTCCTGCTCCCTCAGGTGTGTCTCAGGTAGACCCACCCCCCTTGGTTGAGCTACTAGAGATCTCTTCTGACTCCTCTGGCCCAGCTGAGGGGGGTGACCCCGCCGCTGACGGCATAGCGGCCACTCGCCGCTCTCCACGCTAGGAGACCCCCCCTGGTTTTCTGCCTTGGCCGTCTTCGCCGCCTACGCAGCCTGCTGCTGTGGACTCTGGAGCTAAGACTGCTGGTGCTGAGCCTGGGGTTGCTGAGACAGAGGGTGAGGGTTCTGGGGGTGCTGCGACTGGGGGTGCAGGTTCTGGGGGTGCTGCGACTGGGGGTGCTGACTCTGGGGGTGTTGCGAGTCCTAGTGGCGGTGGAGCTGTGGGTGACCCTGCTAGAGGTCCTGGAGCTGGACAGCCACCGCGGCTTGATCTACTTGAGACGCTCTCACCGCAGGCGATTCGTGGGTGGATCTTTCGGCGAGGCAGTCCTGGTGGTGGAGGGTACGGTCCTGCTTGTGCTGGAGCTGCTAGTCTTGGAGGTACTGCTGGTGCTGGAGGTGCTGGAGGTACTTCTAGTACTGGAGGTGCTGGAGGTACTGCTGGAGGTGCTGGAGGTGCTGCTGGTGCTGCAGGCGCTGGAGGTGCTACTGGTGCTGGAGGCGCTGGAGCTGGAGGTACTGGAGGTGCTAGAGCTGCTAGTCCTGGAGGTGCTGCTGGTGCTGGAGGTGCTCGAGGTGCTGGAGGTGCTCGAGTTGCTGGAGGTGCTACTGGAGCTGCTGACACTGGAGGTGCTGGAGGTACTACTGGTGCTAGAGGTTCGACGCTGCCGGAGCTCGTGGTGCTGCATGTGCTGCATGTGCTGGAGGTGCTACTAGAGCTGCTGGTGCTGGAGGTGCTAGTGCCGCTGGTGCTGGAGGAGTTGGAGCTGCTGGTACTGCCCCGCGCCGACCGTTTTTCTACCCGCAATCGCAGTCGTCCCTGCCGCCGCCTAACTCGGTCCTTCAACAGGTTCAACAGTCTCCCATCTTCCACTGGCCTCACTCCACCTCTCTTGTGTCCACCAACAGACCAGTCTCAGCCACAGCTACTACCTGGCTCCCCGCTGCCCGCTCCTGCTCCTCACACCGAGGTGACTGAGTCCCTGACTGAGCGACGTGAGCCTGAGACTCATGCTTCCACACCTGTTCATGCTCGTCGTGTCGCTCGTCCTTGTCCTCCTCCTGTCCCAGGCACTCACGGTATGGCACTTCATCATTCCTCTGTTCCACGGCGTGTTTTCTTGCCTGAGCCTCCCGCGTCCTCTCTTCCGCACGTTCCTAACCCTGAGTCCGACCTTGCTCGTGCTACCAGTCCTACTGTCACTCCTCTCCTCGCTACTGTCGTCACTGACCCTAACTTTGAGTCTACTGCTGCGTTTGCCCCAGTCACTGAGCTTGTCGACTTTGCAGCTAGGAGTCGTCTCGACTCCGTCGCAAGCCTTGTTACTGAGTCTGAGTCTGTCTGTCCTCCGTCCGTCGAGGGTGAGCCTACCCGTAGCAGTGACGTCCTTGAGGACAGTCAGTTTGAGCTTAAGTGTCTTGCGACCGCTTTACCCCGTTTCGCATCCATGCTGATTTTCCCTGAGGGAGACCCGGATGCACTTGACATCCCTACCCCGCGCTCTCACGCTGAGGTGATCGCGGGTGAGTACTCCTCTCAGTGGCAGACAGCCATGGACGCAGAGATGGCTTCCTAGAAGTCCATAGGCACCTACGTCGACGAAGTTCCTCCTCCTGGGGCGAACATAGTCGATGGCATGTGGATTTTCAGAGTGAAGCGGACGCCGGGTTCTCCGCCTGCCTTCAAGGCGCGTTACGTTGCTCGAGGCTTCAGTCAGC